AAAATTGCCTAAAGTAATTTACATGTATAAAAGCTTACCTACTAAACATTTTCCAATTCAATTATAATTTCAGAGAAATATTCAGAATTAATGTTTTAATCCTTTTATATAATTATTACAAAAACTCAAATTATCATTTGTTTGATACACACAAAATTCAGTGTAGAGAAATCCAATCAGTAGAAAATTAACTTCTTATAACTAAAATGTTCAGAATAAAACATTCAACAATACAATAAAAGTTATATAGTGAAAACAATATAAAAATTTAGAAAAATATATTTTTAATCATATCATAGACTTACTAGAATTGAAATTAGATAACGGAGTTCAGAGGTTTACCATGTATTCTACGAAATTCTTAACTAACCCGAGAAATGAAACCCGAGCTACGGCCTTCAAACTTTCCCCCTTTTTCTCTCTCTTTCTCCTCCCCTTTCCTTCTCTTGCAAGGTGGTTGGGGGATGAGGGTTTGAAAATGATTTTAGATATTTATTATTTTAAAATACCCATTTTAATTTGGCACCACAGTGCCCACCATCCCAACATCACCGCACTCGGCAAAATATTCTAGATCGTCCCAAAATCTCATAAATAGAGAGTTGAGTGCTGCGGCGGTGCAACACAGCACTGCAACGCTCCCCTAAATCCAACTCCCAAATAAAGAGCTCAATGCCCAACATTGGCAATCCTAACGCTGTAGAGCTCCAATGGCACTTTTGAAATCTTATATTTCTCTCTTCCCTATTCAATTTTTTTCTTAGTTAGAATGAATTTACAGCTTTAAAGCTCACAATTACTAATTAAGTCAACATTATGCAAACATTCATTTTAATTTGCATTAATTACGTGAGTTTTAAAATAGTGGATGTTACATAAATTTCTAAACTTTATTGGGCTCAAAGTCAAACTTTATCTAAGGCTTCAAGCTCATAAAGTCATAGGCGAGCATTTTCTTCTTTTGTGAGTCCATATTGAATAACAATACAAAAGTTACTTATCCTCAAGAGGGAGTATTACTTCTATTCCAAACACTAGTGAGTAAGGGGTCGCTTGAGTTTTAGTTTTATAGGTAGTGCAATATGCCTACATAACTCCTATTAATTTATCATGTCATTCACTCTTATTTTTAGAGAGGATTTTCTTAAAGTAATTTTACCAAGGTCTTATTGAATGCCTCAACCAAACTATTGGCTTCTTGATTATATATTAAGTAGCATCAATTTATTTTATGTCACTCATTAAATTGATAGATTTTGGCACTCTTAATGTCATTATTAGATATGATTTGACATGTCAACCCAAATCGATAGACAATATGATCTCAAAAGAACTTCATCATATTGTATGCTTTAACTTCCCTCAGGAAAATTGCTTCAGTCCATTTTGAAAAAAAAAATAGTGACAATGAGGATAAATTGGTGCTCTGAGGAGGGTGGGTTTATGGGGCCAATTACATCGGTACCCCAATTTTCAAATGACCATAATGCTACTGCAAGATGTTAAGTTAGGTGGCCGATTCAAGGTGTTTCCATGAACTTGACATTAGTGACACTTCTTAGCATAATCAATACAATTCTGAACCATACTAGATCAATATTATAAGCATGTGATTGAGTGATAACTTGTTATTACTTTTACAATATTGCGACTTTAGTATATATGAAAACAAGTAAATTCTGGTTATTACTAAAATTGGCTGGAGACTGATTCATACATATATAAGATGGTAGGTCTACAGACTTTCCTTTAAATACAATGGTTTGTAGATTCATCCTTTACTAATTCACATATAAGGAGCACTGCTATGATGCTTGGTTTGAGAATGATGGTTTACATCTTTATCATTTCAACATCAATACTATATTATTTTATAGGCTTTATAAGCTCTACTACTATAACATGTGTTTTACTATTTTCGTACAAATTCATAATCATATTGACTACTACTATTATGAACTGTGTGATTATATGCATATTGCTTCTTTTCCCTACTTGGAGTTCAATGGTAGCATTTTAGTGATCTATTAGGCTTTGAGAATCAAGAATACAAGACTGATTAGATACATGATTCTTCATATTTTACTGTCATTTTGTCTCTTTTGTCTTTAGTTATTCTTTTGTAGTCATGAGTGGGTAGACAGTGTGTTATATTTGTATATGATTTTTGGAGAAATGAATTCAAATATATATTGACGTTTTAATCAATATATTTTTTTCACTAGTATTTTATTATTGAAAAAAATTTAAGTAGCTCTTATTGTTATTAGTAAAAGATAAAAGATAAATTCTTTCTAATTTAGATTTTGGGGCGTGACATAGTTCATCATAGTTCTACAGTTCCCTCTCTCCCTCAGCCAACTAGGAGGTGAAACATAGCCTAGGCATTTTGCATAGTATTGCACTTTTTTATTTTTATAAGTGTAGCCTTTAATGTAGCCCTCGTACCATATAATAATGGGCCAATAGAAGCATTAGGGATCTTTTCTAGTATATTAGATCTCATAGTTGATATTTGCTTATGCAACAAAAAAAATAATTTAAGATTGCAATTTAAAACAAACTTGTCTTCTTTAAACATAGATGAACATGAGTACATTACATAACAACGCTTACAACTTACAAGACACAACAACACTTTCAACTTTAAAAAAAAAAAGAACAAAACCTTAGAACACAACACATTACAACTTATATAAATTATGAGAAGAATGATACAGATGGGGCGAGAACCATGGAGAGAGAATAAGAGATAGAAAATCGAGAAGAAGTAGTAGAGGGAAAGGGAAAAGGAGGCTAGCTCGCAAGCTAGAAAAACTTGCAGGTTTGTAAATAAAAAATCATTCCATTCTCTTCTAAAAATTGCAACAAAACAACTCTATTTATAGGGGAAAAATAGCCAACCACTCACATTAATGAGCCACCTCAAATAACCGATAGGAGCCAACACAAAACTTAGGAAATAGCATAGGGAAGGGGAACGGCCAGCACAGGAAATCAACAAAATGCAGTCCTAAACAACATAGGGAAGGGGAACGACCATCACATGAAACCAGAAAAAAAAAAACAAATTTCAAGCATTTGGGAAACCGAAATCTGCAGAGAAACTCAGCAGGAAATCCAACTGCCACCAAACAATCTGAATAAAGCATAAAACACCAAACAACTAGCTTTGCCTACATCATTTGCTATCCTTTTTCTTTACTATTTTTCTCTAACTCTACTCTTAACTCTCAATTCTCAAATAGATACCAGCTCAAAAGCTCACTAAGTAGGCTTGTTAGTAAAGTTGGGTGTTACCCATAAACATAATTGGATCCAACATTTATCATGATTTATTATTTATTAAAGACAATTTATATGATTTTTTATAATTGACATAATGTTAAGATGATAATTTAAATCAACTAAATCTACATTTATTTGTAGGAATATCCCTAATTTGGGAAATAAATTGAGCCTAAAGAATATGTATATGCAAAAGGTACTAAGAGTTGAAGATACTAGGCAAATTTTAAAGGATTCTTAAACCATTGGTTAGAGGAGAAGGTTGCTTTTATATATAGGTTTTGAGCCATGCATTGTGTTATTTACAGCTAACCATCAACATCAACATCAACATCAAGCCTTTTTCCCACTACGTGTGGTCGGCTACATGAATCTTTTTTTGCCATTATGTCCGGTTAAAAGTCAAATTCTCATTTAAAGCTAATAAAGAAAGATCATTTCTAATATTTTCTAACTAAGTCTTTTTAGGTCTACCTCTACTTTTCTTAACATAAGTCAAATCTAATAACTCAACTTTCCTAACCGGGTCATCGGAAGGCCTCCATTTAATGTGACCAAACCATCTAAGGCGACTCTCTCTAATCTTATCTTCCACTTAAGTTACTCCAACCTTTTCACGTATATGCTCATTTTGTATCCTATCCCTGAGGTTCAAGCCACTCATCCACCTAAACATCCTCATCTCTACAACATTTAACTTAGTATTATGCTTCTCTTTTAATGACCAACATTCGACACCATAAAACATTATAGGTCTCACCATCATCTTATAGAATTTTCCCTTAAGTTTGAAGGGGACTTTTCTATCGCACAATAAGCCCGATGCATTCCTCCACTTCAATCATCCAACTTGAATTCTGCTGATAATATCCCCATCAATTTCACCATCACTCTGAACAATAGATCCAAGATATCTAAAATGTGTACTCTTATTAATGACTTGATCGCCCAAGGTCACAATTCCCTCATTAGGTCTAATGTTACTAAAATTACACTCCATATATTCCGTTTTAGATCTACTCAAGCGAAAACCTTTAGACTCTAAAGTTGACCTCCATAATTCAAGTTTACCTTCAACCCCTCTCTAGTCTTATCAACAAGAAGAATATCATCAGCAAAAAGCATACGCCAAGGTACATCCTCTTGCAAATGTCTAGTGAGAACATCCATGACTAAAGCAAAAAGATATGGGCTTAAGGCTGATTCTTGATGTAATCCAACCGAAATAGAAAAATACTTGGTCAAACCACCTTGTGTTTGAACACAAGTAATTGAGAAAATTTTAAATACCAATTCCCCCCCCCCCCTTGGTTAGCCTTAGGCTAGTTCATAAGGGCCTAACATCCCTAAAAAACTTTCAATATGGTCTGCCAGAAATGTCACTACTCACAAATATAAGTAGAATTCAAAATATTTAATGAAGAATAATAAAATTCAATCAATATTATTTGTAATCGTCAATATCTCAGAGTAGAGGTAATAGATTGTAACAATCTCTTCTTTTTTAATGATGTCAAATAATTTTATTGATAGGCATGATTATATATATATATATATATATATAAGATAAATGCCAAAGCAAAGTTAAGTATTTCATTATAATTTATGAATTAAAAATAATTTCAAGTATATCAAAAAATGAGGCTATATTAAAAAATGAAACTTTATTCAGACGAATCAATATATCAAAATATTACGTCCACAGTACTCACTTAGGTTTAGCAGCTAGCAACAAGCAGTGAATCTTCTCTTGCGGCCCTCCACTAAATTGATTCCGACGATAGAATACCTGCGTTATCGGAAATCTAAGAAATACAAGCAAAGCTCAATCATAAATAAATCTTTAAAAATAAAATAAGAAAATATATGTAAAAACTTTAGCTCTAGATAATTTCATACTTGAATAATTTATAATATGATCCTATCAAATTCAATTCATAATTGGATAGATTATGGAACTCGTACTGTGTCTTTCCCTAACTTGTTTTCATCAGAATTAAATAACTTCCCTTCAAAAAAATAAACTGTTTATTAGAAAAAGCATTATTGCAAAATAAAAATGCAACCATATAGGCCATCTCCGACCACTCAAACCACACAATCAGCCCCTTCTTACAGCTCCAATCTTCCAAAGCAAAGTAGCTCCAAGTCTTCGTTAACTCACTACCTCATCCCGTGTCTATCCACTCACCTCCATCCATTTCTCACTACAACCCGACCTCAAGTTGCAAGCCTAGGTTCCTCATCTCTGGCTCACTATTCCTGCCGGCAACCGACCGACCAACTCTAAAGCATTGTCCATTACTAATCTTAAAAAAACAAAGCGAAAATAAAGAATTCCTTTACTTAGCTTTAATCCGAGAATGGCGACGTCGAGACACCGCCGGGCTCGTGCGGAGATGGCAAGGATCAGGCGACGGCCAGGTCGGCGGGCTTGTGCAGAGGACAATGTCGGTACTCGCGGGCAGCGGCTGCGATTTGAATGAGAAACAACAACAAAAAATTTGGAATAGCATTGGTGAAAAGAAAAACCAAAAATTAGTTAAACTCATTTCTGGGTAGCATGAATAAAAATCGGTAAGCATGAATAAAAATTTTTTCATTTGTTGCTAAGCATTGCATGTGTAAAAGAATCCGTAAGAGTTACTTCGGCCAAGCTTCGTCGCCAATGCTTCGGTTTGCCAGCATTGGCTTTGGTTTGCCAGGACTCCTATAAGAGCAGGCGACCAGCCCGCATTTTTTACCTAGGGCACGCGATGAACGGTGATCAAGCGAAGAAGAGGCAAGGAAGGAGAGCCGGGATTCATACCTGCTCGAGAGAAGAAGAGGCGACGAAGCTTGGCCAAAGCTATTCACGCGGGAAAATCGACTGGGTTCGGGGAGAGGGGTTTGACGGTCGCTAAGGGAGTGCTATAGCGAATGTTTAGAATGAGAAAGCGGTGGTATATAAGTAAATATTTGATTTTAGGTGTTAAATAGGTATTTTTAATAGTTTTAAGTGTTATGTATGTAAAAATTCTTATTTTATTTTATGATATTTAGTTATTTATATCTAAAATTTTAATATTATATTTGTATCCCTCATATAAAATTTTAATATTAAATATATCGATAATATATTTTATTCTTATCACTCATATCATATTATAAATTTTAATATTTATTTAATGTACTCGTATTTTTTCTATATGTGATAGATATGTAATATTAAAGTTTTAGGTATTAGATATGTAAATAGTATGAAATAAAGTGATATGTATGTGAATCCCATCAAAAATTTTGTAGGGCGGTCATAATTCCAGAAATTACCTCTCATATACATAAAAAATTTATTTTTGAGGGGATCCGCCCATTGATGTGAACTTGAGTTTGAAGAGATATTTGAGGTCTAAATAACTCTATAAACTTTTTGGACATTCCACTGTGATGATAATCGTCAACCACCATTATCATTTGACTATTATTATAGAGTGAAGTCATCTGATTGTCATCATCTATTTGTTGTCATCTTATTACTTGATTATTGTTGTCTGAATAACATCATCCAATCATCATCGCTCATCTCTATCATTTTTCCTCATATTCGTATAAATTTTTAATTATATTACATATTTTATAAAATCATATTCTCTAATCATGAGAAATAATAAATTCATGTAATATATATAGATAGTGTATTATTTTATGTGTCAGACCCCATGAGTTTTTTACTTTCCAATTTTTTTACTTAAATTTTTTTTTTTTGTATATTACATTCTTTTGTTATCAATGTGTATAGGATCCTTAAATAAAATTAGAATGTAAAATTCTTTTTATGTTGCTCAAAGTCAATATAATTTTATTGTGGGGTAAATATTGAAATCGAGTATATTTATAAATTATAAAATAGCTACATTATATTTATTCTAAAATGTCTTATACGTTTAAGTAATTTTTTTTATTTATATTAATTAATCTCAAATGATAAGTGTGAGAAGCCAGCTTTATCAAATTTTCCCTTAGGTGGTGGATGAGAGAGGAATAGAAGGTTGATTGGTCCGGAGTTCCCACGCACGACAGCCGTTAGATCGGACGATTTACGCTCGTTCGATCTAGGTCGCTAAAGAAGTTATCCTATTAATTCGCGTTTCGGCGCGTCTGACGTCTTTCTCTGGATCGTGGTTTCCGAAGGAGGCGGAGGTCAGGGTGAGCGACGAAGAAGAGCTCTTGGAGAAGAAGCGAAAGATGGTGCAGCGTCTCACCTACAGAAAGCGGCACAGCTATGCCACAAAGTCTAACCAAACCAGGGTTGTCAAAACTCCGGGTAAAGATCTTATCTATTGTCACCTTCATGTAAAGAATCTACTGCATATGCTATTTATTGATCTTATGTTGTTTGATCGTAGTCCCCTCGGATCCTTTTTACGTTGGATTTCGTTTTTTCAGAAGTTTTTTTCACTCCTATTCGTTGCTCCGGCCTACTTTTTCCCTTTTTGTTTTGTAGTCGAGGTTTTCTTCGTTTGGAATTTTTTTTTTTTTTTTGATTGATGGTTTGATTTCAAAACTCAGGAGGAAAGCTTGTATATCAATACACAAAGAAAAGGGCGAGTGGGCCAAAATGCCCGGTTACTGGAAAGAGAATTATCGGGGTATGTGATCCTGCGCTTCTCATATGTCCTCTCACATTCGTTTTGATATGTATTTTGATGCATGCAAGAATTTCAGTTAATGTTCCGCCATTTTTTGTGCGTTATGATGTTATAATTGTTCAACAAACTTTAGTTCTCGTAGAAAAAAAAAAAACAATGCCGATGCTAACGGAATGTTTGTCATCAGTTCTGTGTTTTTTATTTGTTTTTTTAATATTGTTTCTGCTCTAATTTTAAATTGAAAAAAAAAATGAATGTTATCTAAAAACATTTTTCACCTTATCCATGTCTTCTAAGATCTATACGTTTGATTCCGTAACCTTGTCAGCTCCCAGAAAAAAAAAGATTTCCCCTTTCTCAGACCCTTCATCTCCTCCTTGACCTACATTTTCCATTGAAGAGTTACAGTTGCTGCCATGGGGCCCCAGCATTGAAAATGGGACAGACATCTTAATTTATATTGCTATCTGTAGGGTGAATGCAGTGTTGAGGTTGGTGACGAGCACAAGGAATTAGATTGGTCTATCAAGAAACCTGAGTAATCAATCAAGAAGTTAGAGGTTAGATGTGTTCATTAGAAAGTTGACGAGTCATGATGCTTGGATGCGCAATTGATGCTAGCTAGCTTAAAATCAATCATTATGGTGCAGGTGGGACCTATCAAATTGATCTTTGTGGTATTGGAGGGAGCTATCAAATGGTGAGCAGAGGAGTGCTATTGGATGTGTTTGTTAGAAGGCTTTACACTGACGTGGTAATAGATAATCAACGTGGAATTTAGAGGAGCCATTAATGCCACTTTAGGAGACTAAACAAGAAATGTGGTGTCAAGTAGAATACTTGATGTTGCCAGAAAACAATAGGTGTTTCTAAGGTAGGCTGGTAGGGTGCAAGTGAAGCCTTGGCTTGAGCGATCCATTACCTAAGTGTGATGGTCGGGAGTTGTGATGGAGTTGGTCTGCATATGAACGTTTGGCTTCACAATGGAAGTTGATCGAATGACCTCAAAGGAAGATGCATAAAAAGTTGTTGGAGTGCTGTTAACTGGGATTCAACATTCCGGACTATCTTCGAATTTTGAGAACTTGAAAGAGTTCTAGTTGAGGACAATGAAGATGCCAATAGAGGAGTTGTTGATCGGAGGATACAACGAGTTTGGGTAAATCATGCTTATCCATGAGGCATTGTAGTTTGATTGGAGGATGATTGGTGGGCCCAATGATTGATTTTGTTGGCATGGGAGGCAAATGGCAATGACTTTGAGACAATGATGGAAGGTTTTTATTTTAGGTGCAAGGTAATCAAAGCTATGCATATAATTATTGAATATGAGTGGCAACTTTTGAGATGCCAGATTGACAAATGTTTGCTAAGTGTTCAAATATGTAGACGGGCATAAAATAAGCGATATAGAAAATGAGATAAAAATGTTTTGTGAGTGCATGTAGTATTAGTACCAAGCTGTTTTAGTAACTAAGATGATTATAATGCTTTATAGAAAGTTTTATAAGTGAGAACTGACTTGTGGTGAGGTTGAGGAGGGCATAATTGTAGAATTTGTACCAAGTGGGTTCGACTGCAATGATAATTTTGTAAGTTTTCAGAAATTCTAGAAGGCAAAGGAGACTTGCTGTAAGTTGGTTGCTATTATGTATAAAAAATCAACACAGTCTAAATAAATGTGAGAGCATGTCAAGTCGTGGCTAGGATTTGAAACTTTTTTATGATTTTTAGTGTTTGTTTTGTATACTTCTTGGGCAAATCTAGATTTTTTTTTTTGAATAGGGATATTGAAAGAAAACTAGGTTATATAATCCTAAATTTCAATTTGGTTATGATCACCTTATTACTCATTTAAATCTTTAATGTGGTCATACAAGTTTGATTAATTCTTGCAATATTAATGTATAACATAATTTTCACATAATTTCATAAAAATAGTAATTTAGTGTTTTGTTTTTATGTTGTTGTTCCTAAACTTGAAATAGGAGATGAAGTTGTTAGTAGCTAAACTCCTTAGATGAACTCCTTTTAGTTGAGGCCTTTTATATTGTGATTCTAAACAAGCAAGGGTTGATTTCAAATGAGTATAAAAGGGGAATTTGTAATGATTTTGACTCATTAGCTTCAACCATCACATTAATCGTGATTTGCAGAAACCTCTTGTTGTCTCTGAGATTGCTCCCTTTACGCGTCAACTCTTCCTATTCCTTGATCTCATTTTCATTTTTTGCAGGCTTCATGAGATGTGTGGGCTGAGTCATTCAATATGTTGGCATAGGGAGTGTGCTTAAGAAACCAAGGGAGCATATCTCCTATTAAATTGGAAGGTGGGTTGAAATTGTGATTTGGAAGACCATAGATTGAATATTTTTTTGATTAAGGTCAATATGGAAGAGAATAATCAGAATTTGGAAGAGAAGGTTTTTATGTTAAATGAAGGATGGACTGGACCTTTTAAAGTGAAAGCCAAATTAGATATTCTTACTTTTGATTGGAGGATCGACAAAAAGAAAATTGATGTGTATATTGACCAATTAAAGCACACTTAAGTTTGTATGAGTTTAATAATCATGTAAAATTTGTGTTTACCTAACTTAAATTAAAATGTCATGCTTCACTTTGGCAGAGCTTCCACTTAAAATTTTACTTAGGAATATGCAGGTAATTCAAGAGATTGCTATGTTATGATTTCTATTCTGTGGGTGTGGTTGAGGATCGTGGAAGAAATGGTATGGTCTGGGATAACCTCAAGGACAATTTGAGCAGGTGGATTTGGGTGAAAAACTTAGTAGTATAATTCCTAAGAGTGTTTTTGAGGATTAGTGGATGATATACCATTGAATAAAATAGAGCATGTCATTTAGCTGATTTCAGATGTGTTGAACGTGCTATTGATAAACCTTTTGATATACTGAATCTCTGTCATTAAGAATGAAGAGATCAGGAAGCAGGTTGCTGAGTTGTTGGAGCATGGAATCATTCTACCTAGTAGTTCGCCTTACGATTCAACCTTTGTGATGGGCTCTCAGATGGATGACACATGGAGACTATATGTTGACGCTCCACTGTAAACTAAGTATTGTTTAGGAGCAGGCGCAGCTGTGCTTAGATGGCCTATTAGATCAGTTGACGCCTACTACTATCTCTTCACTAAATTGGGTCTCAAACATAGTTACCTAGGTAACATGAATAGGGTGGACACATGGAGGATTGCTTTTAAATCAAGGGAGAGGTTGTACAAGTGGTTGGTAATGCCATTTAAACGTTGCAGTGCCAACTACACTTATGAGGTAGATAAACGTTGTTTTTCAACCATACTTGTATGATTTCATTATTATTTCTTTATATGATATTGCAGTCCTCAGCAGATTGTTGGATGAGCATTTGAGGAAGGTGTTTCATCTAGTACATCATCATTAGCATCTTTTAAACCAAAGGATGTGTCAATTCTCCTAAAAGTTAATCTATCTGATAGATGATACATCTGTTTCTTATTCGAGAAGATAAATGAGGTGGCTGTTAGCATTACCAAAGTTGCCTGTACCATTCAAACTAGAGGTGGTTTTTAGTGGCTAAGTAATGGGAACAAAATTGATGTGGGTTCTGAGATTTCTTGTTTATCACTTTGGGATGCTTCAAGGAGCTCAGAAGAATTATCAGACCTTTAACAATGAGTTGTTTGCATTACATTAACTACTGAACCATTGGTGTGTGCCTATCCTCTTGAGAGGAAATTTTGGCACAAATGTATCAAATGCCATTTCAGAAGTTGTAGAAACAGACTATTCTTTTGTAGACTCAATGTATGAAGTGGATGATTTATCTCCAACAATTTTATATGGTGATCAAGAATAAGAAGGGAGTTACTAACAAAATGACCAATATGCTCTCTTTTCCATCTCTAGTGCTTTCTCCATTTAAAATATTTTTATGCAGTATGAGCCATTGATATAAAAAGATTTTAGGATGAAGAATCTATTCTTCAAATGGATATTGGGGGACTTAAGGGAAACTCTTTTTGGGTTTGCTCTAAAAGATGGCATACATGATAGAAGAGGATGGTTGTGCATATCGAATCCAGTGGATCAAGTTTAATGGATAAATTAGGCACCACACACAACCAAAGTTGTTGGATTCATTATGGTGGAGCTAGACACTTTGGAGTGGAGAAGAGATTGACCATTGCAGAACTTGCTGTGCTATATTCACTAGCCAAATATATAGCACAATTTTAGTGTTTTAGCATATGCATGTTTTATAACACCTTAAAACTTGCAGATAGGAAGTTGTGATTTTTTAAATGCTATATTGCCCATACTAAGACATTCGTGGAATAGCATCTCTATGCATTTTGTAAGAGATTTGCCAAACAAAAAAAAGATGGCATGACTATTTATGTGGTAGAAGTCTTTTTTTTTTCACAAAAAAAAAGATCTTTCAAATTCCTATAAGAAATTGGCAAGGCAGCCCAACTCTTCTATTAGCATGTCTGTGCACATTTTGGTTTATTCATTTTGTATTGCATTTGATCGAGAGAGTCTGTTCCTAAACCTTATTCTTAGAGGCCTAATGGGGTATTTTGGATTCCAAATTAAAGATGAGCACTGAGTTACATTTATAAACTGATCTCTAAATAGAGATTGTGAACATTACCATGATGCATTTACTAAGAAGTTACAACAATAAGCATCTAAAAACTTGGAATAGCAATCTATTATTCATTTTTCTTTCAATAAAGCTGTGCACACCTACACTACAAAGACACCTTTTTAAGTTAAAACTAAGGTAGTTATCACAAATTCCCCTTGATGTTCACTTGTCCATCACCCCCACTACTGATGGTGGGGTTGAAGCGGGGACCAGATAGAATTTAGTGTTTTCTTTGCAAAATTCATGAGGTGGTGGAAAAGCAGTTTGCGGAAGACCTAATTGAAACAAAGAAATGGATGATTGTCATGTCAAAGTGAACATTCAACTAAGATATATTGCTTGATTACACTTATGCAAGGATCACCTCAAAGGGGAATAAAAGAGTTTGAAGTTAGTAAGGTATGCGGCTTTTAAAATTCTCTAAAAAGTTGAATATGAGGCTTGGTAGTTCAAGCTGTCGTCTTATGTGTAGATGTGCTCGGTAATAAATATATAGATAATCTAATGCCTTTTGAACTTTCTATATTTGATGGTGAGTTAAAATAAAAATTACTTGCTATGAATGATTTACTCGTTGAGCAAATACCTTTGAAATTGATACTCCTAGAGCATAAGAGTATACGACTACCACCACAAAATATTAATTAAATGGTACACTGGGAAAGTTGGATAGACTTCTTTTCCTCATATTGTGCTTTAACATGAGTTAAATCCTCATAAATGGGCGGGCATATAGTTAAAATAATTACCCTTAACCTTAGCATTTGACAAATTATTTTTTAGTTATTTTGATACCATTATACTGAAGAATTATTTGGTTCCATTGATCCCTTTTGAAATCATTTGGACATTAGAACCTCTTTGAGAGCATCTCCAACAGAACGTCAAACGTGCGTTTGATGTCGTTCGGTCGCTCTAGCCGAATGCCAAATCTTCCGCCATTTACTTGCGGGTGAACAGTGTGACGTTAATATTGACGTTGCACTGTTCACCTACGCTATTTTGCTCTCTCAACCAGAAAAACGCGCGAAATGGAGAAGGATCGTTACCTTCGCAAAAGCATTTAAAATGGAGTTCAATTGGAGCAGCACCACGACATTTTGGAGTTTTGCTGTATTTTGCCGTGAAAAATGTAGTTCTATGTTGGAGATGCCCTGAGCCTGATCAAGCATAAATGATAGCCACAATCTTAAATTTTTTAGATAGGTTTTGCATTGCTAGCATTCTATTTTGAAGAAATAAGACACAAATCATAGAAGTTATCATATGATATAAAATCTATCTGCAACATTTCATATACACCATTGTAACATTTGGTGATGAGAGAGAAAGTTTGGAAATTTTCGATGGTTATGTGGTCGATTTTGTTCTCATCGTATTGTTGCGATGAAGTTGTGAGCAAATTAACTCCACAGAAATGCCTAAATGCTTAACCTACCAACTCTTTCTTCCTTCAATAGATCATATTGTAGACGATTGTTTCCTCTACGTCGCTCTTTGCAAATTATTTATGTAGTTTAAGGCATCAAGAAAAGATTTATTTATTTTTTGTTATTTTTTCTAGTGCAAGTTTCTTGCAACAATTGATTTGCACTTTCTTAGGGTTGTAATTATATACTTGTAAATTTTTTTTTCTTAGGATTTGTTCGCTAACTACTTTATTAGGGAATTATATGCCATGACTTGTATCAAAATTCGGGAACTATTGCTATTACAATAGGATTATTCGGAACATCTCTGGATCGTGGTTTCCGAAGGAGGCGGAGGTCAGGGTGAGCGACGAAGAAGAGCTCTTGGAGAAGAAGCGAAAGATGGTGCAGCGTCTCACCTACAGAAAGCGGCACAGCTATGCCACAAAGTCTAACCAAACCAGGGTTGTCAAAACCCCGGGAGGAAAGCTTGTATATCAATACACAAAGAAAAGGGCGAGTGGGCCAAAATGCCCGGTTACTGGAAAGAGAATTATCGGGATTCCTCGATTGAGGCCAGCTGAATATAAGAGATCTAGATTACAACGGAATCGAAGAACAGTTCACCGTGCTTATGGCGGTGTCTTGTCTGGTGGAGCTGTTCGTGAAAGGATTATCCGTGCATTCCTGGTAGAGGAGCAGAAGATCGTAAAGAAGGTTCTGAAGATTCAAAAGGCAAAAGAGAAGCAGGCTGCAAAGAGTTGATCAGTTGATATGTCGAGGCCTTTCTAGTCTTATTTTCTATTGAAGGGAATTTTGACTATATAATCATTAATGTGATCCGAGTGTTGTTTTAAATATGGCTGCATTGAATTTTTTTGGGAGTTTTATATTGTTTCTGTTGAACATGTTGAAGACCTTGGTTTATTTTCAATGTTATTCAGTCGAATTTGTTGAAGTTATGATCACGATTGTCAATTTGTTGGAATCTCTTTCATGCCTATGTGAATATTAGCGCTCATTGATTGCTTTTTGTGGTTCCGTTAATGTTAATTGTGGTTGCAATTAGGGTGCTTTCAGAGGTTGACAGTCATTTACGCCTATTTGTGATGGAGGCGTAAACGGCCTGAGCTCTGTACGTTCGACTTTTTCTATGTTCGGGTTTTAAAGTTCAGCTGCTGTTCTTCGGATTCATCTGTAATTGATATTCATATTTTATTTGTCTAAGACTCTTATTTGGTACGAAAGATGTTAAAACTCATTCATAGTTAAGAAAATAGATTAAAAATTCATAGTTTAGAAAATAGATTATAAATTATTTATTTTGAAATGAATGATATTTTAAGAATATTTTTTTCTCTCATGATGCACCTATTTTAGAATTAAATTTTCTATTATATATATATATTTTTTATCTCCATATTATTCTTTAACCAAAGTAATTCTATTAAGGGACGAATCTCTTGTATTTGTGGATATTTTTGGAGTTTAAGATATACTTTTTTTTTTTCAATTGATATGAATTGTTTTAATGTTGATTTTTGTTTGTTAAATTTGCTTAATTTATTTTTTAGATTTAGATTTGAGTATTTGTAAATGAGGAGAGATTGATTTGAATTTGAATTTGATTGAAATCTGCGTAGAATAAAATGTGAATCGCGTCACCTCCATATAATACAAAGCTTCGTCAATTGCATAACTAAATTCACATCAAATGTTTTAGCGCCAATCATAAGATCCCGAATAGCAGCCTACATGGATTTCCGTAAGAGTTCCCGTCAACTTGTGCGTTAAATCACATATCAATATATCATGGCAAATTAGCCAAATTTTGTGTGGGTAATTGATGCATAGGAAATCGGGCACTGGACGGTATCGGCAGGGAATATGGCGAATGTGCCGAAGCCTCCGCTCCCTGAAGCAGATCCACGCTCTAATAGTAGTTCGGGGCTTCCTTTGCAATCCCCACGCCCTGCGAGAGCTCCTCTTCGCCGCCGCCATCTCCCTCCGAGGCGCCATGATCTATGCCCGCCAACTGTTCGACCAAATACCCCAACCGGACCACTTCATGTGGAATACCATCATACGCGGTGCCGCCCACACCACTAACCCGGCCGACGCTCTTTTTCTCTCCATCCGCATGGAACGGGCCGGTATGAAGCTCCATCACCTCGCTCTTCCCTTTCTCCTCCGCGCCTGTACCATTCTTTCCTCTCCCTCCACGGGCTCCCAGCTCCACGGTAAGGTCACTAAGCTTGGTATCACCGACGACGCCTTCGTTCGCAATGCTCTTATCCACCTCCATGCCACCTGCGGCGATACCGAAGCCGCTTCCATCCTATTCACCGCGCCTTCGGCGAGGGCGGATATTGTGGCTTGGTCTGCCATGATCGCGGGGCTGGCCGGGCGAGGACGTTTGGATGATGCTCGAAAGCTGTTCGAAGAAATGCCTGGGCGGGATCTGATTGCGTGGAATGTGATGATCACCGGATACTGTAAACAGGGCCGTATGGCGAGTGCGCGGGAGCTCTTTGACAGAGTGCCCGACCGAGACACCGTCTCGTGGAACGCGATGATCTCCGGATATGTACGCAGCGGTGCCGCAGTGAAGGCTATGGACTTGTTTGATGAAATGCGCCGAGCGGACCAGCGGCCCGACGAGGTCACCATGCTGGGCCTAATCTCCGCCTGTGCCGATTCCGGTGCGATAGACTTTGGACGGAGAATACACTCCGCCCTCAGCGGGGCGACGGCTGCTGGGGCCACTCAAAGCGTGCTGCTTTGTAACGCGCTGATTGACATGTACGCTAAATGCGGGATTATAGATGGGGCTGTTCAGGTCTTCCGGGCGATGAGAGAGCGGGACGTCTCTACCTGGAACTCCATTATCGGAGGGCTTGCTCTCCACGGCCATGCTCGGAAAGCCGTCAGCTTTTTTGAAGAAATGAGAATCGCCGCGGCAGCGAGGCCAGATGAAGTGACCTTCGTGAGCGTGCTCGTAGCGTGCAGCCATGGCGGGATGGTGGAGGAAGGCAGGGCTTACTTCTCGCTCATGAGAGACGGGTATGCCATAGAGCCTAACGTGAAACATTATGGGTGCATGGTGGATATGCTTGGTCGCGCGGGGAGGCTGCAAGATGCGTTTGGGTTGGTGGATGAGATGAAGAGGGTTTGCGGGTTGAAGCCTAACGCGGTGGTTTGGAGGGCGCTTCTAGGAGCATGCAAGACGCATGGGAATGTGGAGTTGGGAGAGCGAGCTAATTATGAGCTGCTAAATATGTCGATGGATGAGTGTGCAGGCGGCAACTATGTTCTTCTATCAAACTTATATGCTTCTATGGGGGAATGGGATGGTGTGGAGAAGATGCGCGCGTTAATGGATGATACTGGAGTGATGAAGGCGGCTGGCTGTACTCTCCTTGTTGAAGATGGCCGTGCTGTTTAAGCAAATAGTGGTTGAAGGTTAGAAGTTATTCTGCTCTCCTGAGCTCTGTGGAAGCATGCTACTGTTTACCCACGCTAAACTCTGGTTGAGACTACACTTAATGGGTAAGCATTCTTGAGTGAGGCTTTCATAACGTCTAAGCTATTTACTGTTTTTGGTGCTCACCATTACTACATTGCTGTAGTTCCTGATGCCCACCATCTCTACATTTGTGCAGTTCTTCTAGTGGTGGTGGAAATTGAGCATTTGTACAGTCCGTTGAATCTCAATAGCTAATTGTGTTCATCTAGTGCTGATTATGGTTCATCTTTGCTTTAACTTCAATGTTTCTTAAGTATTATTGCCACAATTAAATGTATGATGTTCTAATCAAGAATTTCATTGCATTGTTAAATGCATTGTTAACCTCCAAATCACCATAAATTAAGGGCCTGTTTGGATGCTGGATTTAGGCCGGATTTATACTAGATTTGAGCTAAATCCTGCCAAATGCAAAAAAAAAAAAAAAAAACACAAAGTTAAATCTCACGGTAAGTCTAAGCTCTAGTTCACGGCATTTTCGACATTTTTGCCCTGAATATTTTGTTAATCCAATATTTTGACGGATTTAGCCGAAGAAGCGCGGAAGGGGAGAAATATCATTATCTTTGTGGTGAGCTCCCTTCGCACTTTCAATCTGACAACAACCATGTCATCGTCGGATGCGGATAAGATTCATCTGAAGCGACACTTTCAAAACTATACTTCACATGACAACAACGAAAAAATGGAGAAGTAACATAGATGAAATATTAAAATAATTAATTAGATAATTTGAAATATAAATAATTAATTAGATACCTAGGATGTAAATATTAATTAACTAATTAGTTAGTAATAAAATATTTTATTGATTAATTAGATAATTATTAGTATAATTAATAATAAATCTCATTAAAACAATATTTAAAATATTAATGAAATAGTTAGTAGTGTAAGCTTAATTAAATGATTAATTTTTTAGATAATAATTAAATAATAAATTATATAATTGTCATTAATTACAATTAAAATATTTATTAAAATAACACTTAAATGAACAATTTGATAATTAGTATTTAAATCATTAGTTAAGTTATTGGATAATTAAATTAGTTTCTAATTATATTATTCATAATTATGATTCATTGATGTTAATTAAAATTAATAAGCAACTCATATTTCAAATATAAATATCATACGAGTTAACCGCCTTAAATCGAGAATAATATTGTCAAACAATCTCACAGTATTTATAAGATTTAACATGTTTCTTGTCAAACAATTTTCAGGATTTAATACTCTCAGGATATAGTAAATTCAGATTTAGAAAATTTATGAAATCTTACTTAAATTAAATCCTAGTTGCACCCAAAAATCCCCTAAAAAGCTTTAGTAAAAGTTTAATATGTGTATGCGTCCCCTGTTTATGCTTAAAACAATAGGTTTAGGATATTGATTGTGTTTAAAAGAATAGGGTTAGGATATTGATTAAGTTATGAGTAAAATCAAATGAAGGCGATAGAACAAATACCTCAAAGATCTTGAACACTTTTTTCAAAGATTGTTCATTCATACTGATATTGATTGGAAATTTTGGATTATTAGGTTTTTGGGTCAAGAGCTGTATTTTTTGTGACCTAACAGCAATTTATGGGGGAAAGCAGCATGATCCATGCTATTAAATCCATATATGTTTTATTTAGAGTCAACAACAACAAAATTTAAAAGGGGGATTTACATGCATAATACTCAAAATTATCTTATTTATATATTTTATACATAAACTTCACTGTTTACATAATATAATACTTATTAACTTCCATTAATGGCCTTAATGAAACTCTTGACAATGAAGAGGAAGTCTATATGATTGATGCGCTAGCTAAGGGTGAGAAAGTAGCGATTGGATCTCGTTGGGAAGTTTGCGATGAGATCTCACTAAGGCCGGGATGGTAGAGTATATTATGATTTTCTTTGTGAGTGATGCCTTTTTTTTTGCTATTAATTTACTGACTGGAAATGTCATGATAGCCAGAAGGTTCATAAAGTTGAAATTGAGGATCGTATGATAGCCAGAAGGTTCATAAAGTTGAAATTGAGAATCGATGATTTGTTTGATCAACTTTCTAGATCTTCTGTCTTTTTCAAGATTGATATGTAAAAAAGATACTATCAGGTAAAACTGAAAGAGTCTGATGCAATGAAGATTGATTTCAGTATGGGGTATATACATTATGAGTTCTTAGTCATGTGTTTTGGGGTGACAAATATACCAATAATTTTCATAAATTTGATGAAGAGTGTTTAGAGATAATTTGGATCAATTTGTTATTGTCTTTATCAACGATATTTTGATTTATTCTGCTTTTAAAAAAAGATCATGCTAGTCATCTGAGGATTGTTCTGGAGACTCTGAGACAATATCAGTTATATGCAAAGTTTTCTAAAGTCTGATGCAAGAAGCATATCATTTTTTGGGAAGGCGTGTTAAATAGTGTAAGTATTTATGTAGATCCACAGAAGGTTCATACAGTTGTTGATTGTTGATTGGCCGAGGCCTACTACTGTATATGAGGTACGTAGTTTGTTAGGTATGACTGAATATTATAAAAAAAAATTATGGAAATATTTTCTTAGATTTCTGTGCCTTTGATGAGACTAACTCATATGTCAATAGCATTTTTTTGGACACCTGATTGTCAGGCCAATTTTTAGAAGCTAAGGGATTGTTTAGCTTTTGCTCCAATTTTTAACTCTTCCGTCTAGTACGAAAGGATTTCATGTATTCACTGATACTTCAATGACTAGGATATGTACCGATACAACATGCAAATGTTATAGCCTATGCTTCTAGAAAGTAAAAGCCACATAAAAGAAACTATCATATGCATGATCTAGAACTTGATGCTATTATATTTGCTTTGAAGATCTGGAGACATTATTTGCATGGTATCAGATGAGATTGTTAATGATCATCAAAGCCTGAAATATATATTCACCCAGAATGATATGAATTTGAGAGAAAGGAGATGGCTTGAATTGATTAAAGATTGTGATCCGATTATTCAACATTAGTCTAGTAAGGTTAATGTTGTTTTGGATACTTTGAGCAGAAAATCTTCTGGATTATCATGTATTCAACTTACTTCATATGAGTATTGTATTTGAGATATGAAAAGGTTACAATTGGAGGTGATTTATTCTAGTGATTGAGATTTTGATATTCTCGCTCAGATGATTATATGACCTTCTCTACAAGAAATAATTCAAAAAACTCAAAAGTTAGATACAGAATATTGAAACTACTTGATTTGATCAAGCCTGGTAAGAAATATGAACAATGATATTATGATTCTGGTTTTATTTTGCTACAAGAATAGACCGTGGGTCTCGAGATCATGAGATTTTAGATTAGTTATTCTACATGAGGCTCATTATTATAGCAATACTATTCACCCAGAAAAGTAGTAAAATGTATAGCGATTTGAAAAGGTATATTTTAGTGTCCCAAATTTAAAGAGGATGTGATAGATTTTATTTCTAAATGTGAAACATGTTAGTCAGTGAAAGTAGAACATCACTGACCAGGAGATTTTCTATAATAGTTACCCATTCTAGAGTGTAAGTGGGAAGAGGTGACGATGGATTTTGATATGGGTTTTCCTAAGTCAAGACAGAGATATGATGCCATTTGGGTGGTTGTAGATCGCCTTACAAAATCTGCTCATTGTAATCAAATTTGATAGTCATATTCTGTGGAAAAATTGGCACAAGTTTACGTGCATGAGATCATTTGGTTACATGGGATATAAAAGGATATAGTTTCTAACAGAGATTGCAAGTTTATCTCCAAACTATGGAAAGGTATTTGATGGACGACGGCTATGTTGGTGGGCCCCATTAGGGTGGGCGGCATGTAAGAAGAGAGAGGGGAAATTATTTAGGAAATTTTAATTACAATTGAGACAGAATTAATTAAGAAAATAGATCTAATTTGAATTCAAAAGTTAAGAGGGATTTATTTAGGGAAGGGGCCTAATTTGGGAGGGAATTAGGGGAGCCTATTTAAGGCTAAATATGGGGTCATTTCAGATTATGCTTGATTTTGTTGAAATTAGTTTTGCTTAGGTTGAGTGGGCACTAGCCGACGGCTAGGGATTTGGGAGAGCCGAATCTTACTCACCAATTGAAGATCCAACTGTATCTTGTATTCTTTCTTCTTAGTTTTTTCAATAAAAAAAGTTATTGTGATCTTCTTCCAAAATTTCTAGTGTCATTCACTGGTTTTACTGAAATTGCATCCATTTCCTATCAAATTGGTTAGAATTGTTCGATCTAGACACCCATGACTGGAAGAAAAGTAGAAGTATTGGAAGGGGAGATCGGACAATTGAAATTATATTGTATAGAAAAGATTTTGGATTTAAAAAAGCTATTTTCAACCATCCATGAGAAGATCGATGTGAAGTTCGCCATCATAGAGGAGATTATGAGAAAGACGCTCAATTTCCAAACCAAAATGGCATCGTTGGAGATAGGGGAAGCCACCAATGACCAAGGGAGTGAAGGAAACCGTATTCTTATAAGGAGAGGGAAAGATCATGAGGTTGAAATGTTGGGGGAAGAAGAGGAGATGCCACCTTTGGAGCCACTTCCAATGAGAGGAAAGGGTGAGGGAAAGAGGTTTTTAGTGGAGCTGTAGAATTTTGAAGGAAATAAAGATAGGAAGAAAATAGAAGCACCATACATTATTCTATCACCCCTACAACAATATTGAGGGGTGTTCCAACAAGTTCAAGGATTGAATCCTTCGCAGGAGCTCAAGCATATTATCATATTGAAGGAAGGAGTCTCACCTATCAGTGTTCATCTATTTGTCATCCACAAATCCAGAACGAAAAGTTGAGAGATTAATCAAGGAGATGCTTGAGGCAGGGATTATTCGACCCAGTGTTAGTCCATTTTTCAGTCCAGTGCTATTAGTCAAGTGCTTCAACAATAGTTTTGTTCATTTCATATTAAGGACAATGTGACACTTTGAAAGGGGAGTATTGATGGACCAGCTAATTTGATTGAGAGAGAATCAAGAAGTTATCTAATTAAGAGTGGGCTTCTTTAATTAGAAGATGTTTCCTAATTGAAGATAGTATATTTGGGGGTCAATTTAGAGGGGATTAATTAGGAAATATTTTCTAATGGAAGAGGGCTGATTTGGAGGGATTAATGATAGATGTTACCTAATTGAAGAGAGCAGATTTGAGGGCTGATTTGGACGAAAATTAATTAAATAAATATGA